ATTATTAATTTATTGTAAAAACATGACAGATAATCTGTGAAACAGATCCAGTTCAGCTTGTTGTTTATTAGTTTCTATGGAGGCAGTGAGCTGTTGACCTGTTTGGTCTGTTTCTGCTCCTCCATCCTGTCACAGACACTACCAGTGGACAGGATGGGCGGGGCTCAGTCTAGTGATATTTAAGTCTATGGTTCAAAAGCAGTCGACCATGTAAAATCTACATTTAGCTGCATTTTTTGCAGCAGCCTAGTTGTACTGTTAAGTGGGAACTTGCCACTTACAATTGTAAATTTAAACTGGAAGACCCCCAGGGGGGATTCCCTGTCAGAAAGTGGGAGAGTTCAGAATTAAAAATGGATGCCACTTACCACAACTGATCAGTGAATAAAACACTTTTAATTTAATTTTAATAGTAATTCTGTATTATTTATTTCACACCGAGTCATTGTACATGTAGTATTTTTCAGTGTTTATAAGAGGACGTGTTAAAACACTGTTCCTATGCATGAAATACCAGGTAGAGCTCAGTTATTGTTTGTTAGCAGTGCTCAGTTGTAGTAATGAGATGAGGAACATGACGTTTCCTGTTTAGTCAAAGTTAAACATGAAATGTCAACAACTGGCCCTTTGAGGGCCACAGTGATGCTCATGTGGTTCTCTGTGAAAATGGGTTTGACACTCATTATATATAAATAAATAATAGAGGTGTAATGATACATGAAGTATTATAGTACAGATGTCAAGGTTTGGAGTATGAAGTCAGATAAAAATGCCTCAGACACAGGTGTCACCACTCTCACTTGAACACAGCACTTGTTTTCTAACACCATTTTGCTTTCTCCCACGATAGAAAAGGAATCGAGCAGGAGCCTTTCTAAAGCGCTCTACACCAAAACAAAGCAAGAAATCTATGGATTTAACAAAACTGTGGATGTTCAGGGTGTCAGAAATCCGTTTGTATCCATCCCGACTTTTAAAAACGATTTTCTCAGAGTTGAACTACAGCAGTCACTTTAAAGGAGGTGAATATTTATGCAGCCATTACACATTCTTATTTATTGTAGGAGTCTATAAAAGTGTGCAGTCAACAGTTTTTCTGTGTTTGCGTAAGCAGATGAACAACAGCTGACAGCAAAGTTCTGTTTGTCCTCCTCTCCCGTCTCAACATGTAGGAGTGACCCAGCCTCCTCTTTGGGTCAAACACAGATTCCTGTTTTCACCATGTTGGAACTCCACACTGCCCAAGGTTTAAACTGGGAAAGCTCCTGCGATGGGAAGCAAAACATCTTCAACTTACACTACCACAGTCACACCAACAGATTTATACATGGGAAGTTGTGTTAAGTGTTTTGCCCAAAGACACAATGAGGTATTTGAACCGGTGATGCTCTGGTTCCAAGGGGAACTCCTACTGCCTGCTTCGCTGTTATCTACATCTTCCTAACGATACCTCTTTTACAAGAACTGTCAAGCTCAGTCTTGTTTTGTAACTTTGATTTCTTTGGTAAAATGTCCAAGTTATATTTACCACAACTGACTTAATAGAATAACAGCAAAACAATACATTGAAGAAGGAGAAAATGTTTTATATGCACCATAAGTGCAATTAATTATAGACTTGTTTAGCTTTTGATTACCCTTTTTGTTATTTTTGGCTTTAAATTAAGGGTTTTGCTA